AAAATAAAAGAACCTGAAAAGGCCAAGCAATACTGAAATTGCACAGAATCTGGAACTTGCAGACATTACTGCTGTCATGTGATTTGGCAAAATAGCTAAAAAAGCTCAGTAAGTAAAAACACCAACACCCTAAAAGTCAGAAATTCTACACTGCAGAAATCATCACGTATCCATTGCTGTGATCTTGTCCCTGGCCCATACTCGTAAATTAACATATACGAACTGTAAATTTTTACACCAACTTCTAAGAAATTGAAGTTTTTTCTTTCTTTTCTTAACAAACAATCTAACAAATCAAAACTTGGACAAAGGAAGTATAAGGCATTATGATGCACCAACCAATCCCACCAATCTAAGTGAGTACATTTGGACCAAAAAATCAGAGATCTTAAATTTACAAGGTCACGTGATGCTGTGGAGGTCATGGTCATGGTGATATAGTAAACATAGGAAAGAAAGCCCTTTCTTAGTCTCAAGAATGCAAGCTTCCAGGGGACCTCTAATGCCTTCTAGAGTGCCGGTGATCCCCCTCAAGTCACTCCTTGCTGGAATCTCATGGGAAACCTTGTTTTGCTGTCTCTAGGCTTGCAGATCTAGCAAGAGAGAGAACAACTCAGAGAGAGAATAATGAACTCCTAACACCTTTGTATTAATCTCATGTAGAGAAACTGCTTTCCTGCAGGGAACAGAATGTCTTATGAACTTGTGTGACTCAATTTCGGGATGTGAAATAACAGAGCAAAATAATCTTAATTATGAAGAAGCCTCTTCTTCATCTGATAAGCAAATGGTTCCATCAATGTTTCCCAAGTAATTCTAATTCAGGGGAAGAACAATGTTTGTGGTTTCTTCTACCCTTGCCACTCTGTATAAAACGTCCAATGTCAGATAATGACATTTAAACTAAGGGTTACTTGCTGCTCATCCAAACTCTCTCCTCCTGACACCATGTGTTATTACAGGAACTATGGCAGCCTGGCTTGCATCTATGGACCCCTGGGCTAAGGCTACAGCTATGGCTGTGGTAGTAATGGCTGTGGCTGTTGCCACCAAGGTTGCTAGTGCTGCTACTGCATCTATGGATTGTACTGCAAAACGTCTCGAGCCACTCTTCCTTCCTGCTCTTCAAAGGCACAGCTTATGAGATGTTTATTTTCCCAATGGTTAAAACAATATTCTAGAGCATTTCAGCTGCAATAGTATGACTTCAGATAGAATAGGCTTCTAAGTAACCAACCAGTAACACATAATACTTTGCAATTCTTAAGAAAAATACATTTTAAATTGTATTGTTTCAACCCTTCCATGTAACTCATCATTTTCTTATGGAAAATTGTCTGTTTTTCAATAAACATTGGCTTTCCATTTCAAGTGTGTGTATTGGTGTTCATTTTTCCTTGTCACAGATACATGTCGTGTATGGATACATGGGTAAAAGAAATTCATTTCCTGAAATACATCCACATGTTCAGAGAGGTTGGATGATCACATGGTAACATTGGGAAGAGGTGAGTGGACCCAGGTAAGAGGGTCCAGAGGCACCCAGGGAAAGTGCTCAGCTATCTTCTGTCCCTAATTTAATCTTTCACTGCTCAAAGGAAAGTGGCATGTGATTTATAGAGCTCTCGTCAGTTTGCCAAGTCTCAGTTAAAACTCAATTAAAAAGTATTTTTAATACGCTGGGTCAAACCTTCCATTAAAACTAAACTAATGAATAAAACTACTTTTCAATGCATGCTAAAATATCAACATCCCTCTCACAATGTATACATCTGAACATCTTCTAATCTGTCCAAAGCTCAGATTAATTTGTCATAATTTTCATCATTTCTATCATCTTTTCTCAATACGCTCCACTTGATAACAGCATAAGCAATCCATAATCTGTGAAATGTCTGGTTCAGCACAGTGGCCTAGTGGCTAAAGTCTTCACCGTTATGGGTGCCAATTCTAATCCGGACAGCCCAGCCTCCCATCCAGCTGCCTGCCTGTGGCCTGGGAAAGCAGCTGAGGACAGCCCAAGGCCTTGGGACCCTGCAACCACATGGGAGACCCAGAAGAGGTTCCTGGCTCCTGGCTTTGGATCAGCTCAGCTCTGGTCCTTGCAGCCACTTGGGGAGTGAATCATCGGATGGAAAATCTTCCTCTCTGTCTCTCCTCCTCTCTACATATCTGATTTTCAAATTAAAAAAAAAAAAAAAAGATGTGAAATGCTACATCTCACCTTCAAGGAAATGCCCAAAGCACTATCTTTCCACCTGCAGAAAGCCCTTCTGATGTCAAAAGAAAGTAAGATGAGAAGTACTCCATGCCCTTTGCCACTAGGGAACATGTGAGATCAATGTGAGTGTGAGTCGTTTCTAAGGAGTCCCAGTGCCAGGATGTTGATACCAGAAAGACAGTCATGACATCCACATGCAGGACAGAACGGCCTTTACACCCCGAGGCAATGGGGGTGCGAGTGAGCCGATAGGATGATAGGAGAGAGAGATGATGACAGGAACACAGAGAGACAGATAAAAACAGAGATGGAGAAAGACGGCAGAAATAGAATAAAACATAAATATATTCAAATGTTAACAATTGAGGAATCTGAGTTAAAAAATACTTACAATCTCTTCCACTAATCTTGCACATTTCTTTTTGAAATATTTCTACATGGATTGTATGAAATACTTGAATCAAAACAGATGCTGGAAAAGAGTTTTGTTGAAATTGCTGACATAAAGTACCTGTTGGGGCTGAAATTTTCCTTATCTCCAACTTGTCTGAATAACTTCTTGTTCCTATTAGTAAGAGGTTTATCACAGGCAGCGTCCTGGGGTCGCCGCCTCTGAACTATTGCATGTTCTTGGGACTGCTCCTCCACACACATACTCTGTTTGCTCATCTATTAAATCTGTACTTTTTAATCAAAGTGTTACAGGAAAAAATCATCACTCCTTCCACACCTGAAAATCAGTTTCCTCCCACATCACTGACACTTGCAGTATTTGTGGATCCATTCTTTCCTTAGATGGGACCAGCTTTTTTTTTTTTTTTCATTTACTCCAGCTCTCCCATTCACAAAGTGATTGCTTAAGTACATATTCAATGATAATCAATAAGAAATAGGAAATCTAAATAGTCTAACACCTGTTTACAAATAAGTTTGTCTTTGAAGTAGGAATGCAAATAAACCACTAAGCATACAAAAATGACTTTACTGATACATTCTTGAAACCCCTTAAAAAATTACTACCACTTGTTCAAACACTCTTCTATTGAATAATAATAAGGCATAACCTACAAACAAAATGAGAATATAACAGAAATATCAGGGAATATATTTTATGAGCATTATATCATCTTCTAATGCAGACTCTAGGAAACAACAGCAATGTTTAGAATGATTGGATTCCCACAGGGGCACAGGAATTTAAATCCTTGCTCTAATTTCAGCCAGGCTCAGCCCACCAGGCGTGGGCATTTGGACAATGAGTCAGCCAAGAAGTGTTCTCTGCCTGTCTTTCTCTTTCTTTTTCTCTTTTCTGTTCTTCCAATAAATAAATATCATTTTTAAATAACAGATTCCATAAAGACTCAGACATTTATGGCAAATAGACAGAATCAAGAATCAACAGCTTACATGAGAGCAAACATTGACTCAACAACAATTTCACATTGTTCGAATGCTCACGTGGAAAAACACAAATCTTGACACATACTTTGCACCAAAATGCAATATAAGAATGTCTTTCTTACCTTAAATAAGTTAGTGGTATCTTAAATGGTACTTTAAAAAGCCCGGGCCATACAGAGTAAATTGATATATCCCTCCAAATTAAGGGTTCTATTTTAAGAAAAAATGAGAGGAATAAAGCATTGATATCACCGATATAAAAAAAAAAGATGCTTCTAAATGAACTAAAATACCTTATAGATTATTAGAAAAAGACACAATAAAATAAATGGCCAGAAATGTGCGTAAGTATTTTACAACAAATTATGGTTGAACTCATTAGCATAAGAAAGAGCAAAGTATAGTTACAAATATAATGCAAGTAATATCATTCAAATTGTTCATATCAACCGGGATGAAAGTATTAAACATTTTGGAGAATGTACAGAAACTGGAATTGGTAAACATTACTTGTCACATCATTTGGCAAAAACACTTGCAACTTGCAGCAGCTAAACACACATATACCTTAAACTCAGAAATGATATCCTAAAGCAAGGATGACATACATCTAACCATTCCTACATACTCACAAATTCACATGTGTTAATTCTAAATTCTTACTCTGTATCCTGAGAACTTGAAATATTCCTTTGCAAACTAACAACAACAACCACAAATAACTTGGACAAAAAATGGTAGGCATTATGTCAGCCCAAGTAATCCTATCAAGTTCAAATAAGCACAGAGGAGGACATTTTGAACAACAAAAACGGTGGCATTCAAATCTCCAACAACACCTGATTTAATAACATCATATCCAAACAGGTAGATTAATAAGGGACTTCAAATTTCCTTCTGATTCACAAGACGCCATTAGACCCATAATGCCATCTAACGCCTTATAAACATCATTCAAGTCTCTCACTGATACAATTCCATTCAAAATCTTGCTTCAATGTTCACACCAGGAAGTGTGGTCTTGGGGCTTGTAGACACACTGCTACTCAGTAGTATCTCTGTTAACTGACCTTAAGTTAGTCACCTGTAGAGGAACTGTTATTCAAAATAGAACAAAAATGTGTTATCGCATCATGCAATTTAATTTTAGGACCTGTGGTACAACAGCAAAACCATCTCAATTATAAAGAACCTTCTTTGTACAAAGAAAAAGATTCCAGAAGTTTATCTCATAAAATTCATTCTAAATTATGGGTCCAGCCATGCCTGTGATTCACTCCAAACCATTATAGCTGTGTAAAAGACCCCTGCAGACAATGACAGTTAAGTCAAAACAGCATTTCCCTGCACCTCAACGGAAACTTCCACCCCTAACACCATGTGCTACTTCGGCAATTACTACGGGAGCCTTGGCTGTGAATACGGTGGGCTTGGTTATTTCTCTGGCTATGGTGGCCTGGGCTGTGGCTTTGGCGATGGCGGGTCTGACTATTGTTGCTGCCGTCCATGCTATTATCACAAATGCAGGACCTATGGATTTTACTGAGAAGCTGGCACGCAGCCACAACACTTCACTCAAAGTTCTACTCCCAGGGCACTTTGTATAAGCAATTTATTTTTCTTTCCTAACTGTGAAAATGCTTGCCTGGCCTATTTTTCCTTCAGATTGGACGCTTCAGACTCAGCATGCTTCCACTAAAGCCACTTGTAATAATACTTCACAATTCATAAAATCCTCTACAACTGATATTGCGTTATTTCTCCATTCATTGTAGCTTTAACAGCTTTGCTGTAAAGAAGTGTGTTTCCTTTCCAATAAATTTTATCTTTAATTGCAAAATGCTGTGCATGTGTTCATTTTTCTTGTCACTTAAATATGTATGCTCAGAAGTACAGGGGGAAAATCAGGAATATTTGTAGAAATAAATCCACACAATTAGAAAGTTTGGGCAGTCAGGAGATAACCTTGCATAATGTGGTACTGCATGTCACACAGGAGAGAAACTCCATTCGGCATCTGCGTGCTGTGTAAGACGTCACTCCCTCACTCAACCTCTCTATTACTCAAATAAATATGAGCATCTGTGACGTATAGAGATAAATTTACTGCATGCAACATCCTTCAGTTAAACCTGAATTGATGCACAAGATTAGTTTTGGACACATGCTGAAATGTTCACATCCCTTCAGCTGTATACACAAATACAACAGATCACACAGGAATGGTGTGCAGCTCCTCTTCTCTTGACCTCCCTTCCTGCCATGGTCTTCATGTCTTTTCACCTCCATCCTCCTGACTCCAGGAGTAAAAAAGTCCGTCATCTGTGAGACGTCACATCTCACATTCAAGGAACGCTTCCCCAAAGTCTGCAGGTTTAGCTTTCCACCAACACAGCTGTCTACCTGGCCTAAACCAGTTTGTTTTCAGTGGAAAGGAAAGGAAAATGCATGCTAGCATGTCTCCTGGTCACTGATTCTGTTTCTGTGTCAATCTTTGCAAAAGTTCTCTAAGGAAACCATTGTCACCATCCCCACACAATAGCACCGTGAGTTTCCCCTCACATCACTGATTCTTGAGCTATTTATGATTATAAGTGTTTTTAGAAGTCAACAAAATGTTTTTTTTTCTTTAATTTAGCTAGAGATCCCTCCACGAAAGGACCAATGAAAAGACACATGTCATGAGGAAATATCACTCAAGTTTTGAGGCAAGTGAAGCTAGGAAATCAAAATAGTTTGAAATCTATATAAAAAAGCAAACATTTCTTTAAAATATTTGTGCAAAGAAAATATCCCTCCTAGGCCAGTTCAAAAACACATCTTTCAGACAACCTAATAAAAAGTAGTACTATCAATCATTCAAATATTCTTCCAAGGAATAGGAATACGCAGAATCTTATTAAAACAACCAAAGCTTAACAATGACACTTTAGGAAAAGGAATATATTTGGGAGCATAGTTATGAAAATCTGAAACAACAAACTCATCATGTCCAACACCCCATATTACAGGATTGAACAACAACAACAACAAAAAAACCCATATTCCCAGATTTGTTTAGTGTCTGAAAATTCAGTCAATGCCATTCATTACATTGACAAAAACACAAGGAAACTTTTATAGAGATCTCAGAAAAAGATCAAACATAATAAAGTTAGTATTCCCATAAAATCTAATAATGGCATGTTATATTTAATTCTAAAATTCAGAATAAATTCTTCGTCAAATACCAAACAAGACAAAAACTGAACCAAGAATGAAGATGGCAGAAAATGATAAGGACATGTTTAAACAGATGGAAAATCATTAGCTGGGTGAAGCAGAGAAGGCACATTCCAGGAAATAGGAGAGGACAGGCCAACAGCAGAGGGGCACCTGCAGACTGGTGGCCATGGGAAAGCAGCGGACAACAGGATGCTGGACTCTGACACTATCCATGTCTGTACCTACAGTGTCAGGATTCACTTAAATAGCAGAATGATGGATGTATGACTCTTTGTGAATATCTATGCTATTGTAATAACACAGGAAAAATCAATGGATAGGTGCATTTGGGAATGGGGATAATGGAAAGCCCAGTGTCTATTGAACCATATCATAAAGTAATTTTAAAAATAAATAATAATAATAATAAAAGAATTACACCAGCACAGTGGAGCAATGGCTAATCTCCTACCTCTAAACACAGGTATCTCGTATGGGTGCTAGATCTATTCCAGGGTGCTCTACCTCCTATCCACATCCCTGTGTATGGCCTAGGGAAGCAGCAGAGATGACCCAAAGCCTTGGACCCTATATCATATGGAAGACTTAGAGGAAGCTCCTGGATCCTGGATTCAGATTGGCTCAGTTTCAGTTATAACGGTCATGTGGGACGTGAACCAGTGGATAGATGACATATGTAAATCAGCCTTTCCAATAAATATAAATAGATCTCCCCCCCCAAAAAACAAAAATTAAGAGAAAGAATCACTACTATCATAACAATTTTTAGTGTTGTATTACATGTCTTAACCTGTGAAATAATTAATCAATGGATAGACACATACATAAATACATATTTGTAAAAGACCTGGAATGACATATAGACTTATTATTAACAAATGTCACAATCATTTATATGGAAAATGCTGTTAGCCTGTGGTGATAGGCTAGTGGTAAATTCTCACTTTGCGTGTGTCAAGATCGCATGAGCGCTGGTCCATGTTTCAGTACTTCACTTTCCATCCAGTTCGCCGTTTGTGGCCTGGGAAATGGGTAGAGGATAGACCAAAGTCTTGGTACCCTGAGCCCACATGGGAGACCCATAGGAAGCCCCTGGCTCCTGACTTCTGATAGCTCTGGCCTTTGTGACCATTTGAAAGGTGAACCAGAGGACAGACAGTGTTTCTTTGTGTGTATTCTTCTCTGTGTATATCTGCCTTCCCAATTAAAAAAAAACAATGAGTGTTAGAAAACAAAACAAAATGCAGTTAGCACTACTGAAGAGTTGGTTTGAGATTAAACACATAAAACAATGGGCAAGTATAGTTTTAGCAAGCAAATACAAACAAGCCTAAATAAAGCAGCCAGATCTTAGTACCACATATTATTAGAGTGTAAAATATAAATGGATTACCCTAACAGTATATACTGTTGCACTAATTTGACAACTGTGGAAAAAAATGCATCAACTCATAACTTATTCTAAAGTAAGATATAGTAATATCTTTATTAATGTGATTAAGAAATTATTTCTGGAATAAGATTTTAAAAAAGACTAGCCACAAAAGTAGATTGATAAAGTCGATTTAACCAGAAATGAGACATTCTAACTTTTTAATAGATAAATTGAATAATATATATAGATAGATTATACTGCATCTGTATATGTATATTTATATAATTTTTAGATAACCTTAGGTAAAGTATCTCCCCTAGTATTTATTATATGTGATAAAAGTCAAAATCCTTAGTTCTAAATTTTATTTTAAAAAAAAAGAGTTATTTACTTTTATTGGAAAGGTAGATCTACAGAGAGGAAAGACTGAAAGATTTTCCTTCTGCTGGTTCACTTCCCTAGTGGCTACAACGTCCAAAGCTGAGCCAAATCAAAGCCAAGAGTCAGGAGCTTCTTCCATGTCTATCATGTGGGTGCAGGTCCTAAGACTTTGAGCTACCCTCTACTGCCTTCCCAAGCCACAAACAGGGAGCTGGATTGGAAGTGGAGCAGCCAGAACATGAACTGGTGACCCTATGGATCTCAGTTCATGCAACATGAGAATTTGGTCACTGAGCCATCATGGCAGGTCCAGTTCTAAACTTTTAAAGAATATAATCAAACTGGTATTATACAGAGTTGCCTTACTATGAAATAGAACATCAGAACTTACTTCTTCTCTCTGTGCTTTAGTATTCCCTTTCAACATAACCAAAAAGCACCCACTGGCACAATACATAGATATATATTTATATCAAAATAAACATAAACATATACAAATCATCAGAGAAAAAAAAACCAGCTTATTACATCAAGACAATGCAAATTTAAACCACATGAAATAACACTGCATACCCATTACAACAGCTGCAATGAACGATACAAGAAATGAAATAATTTTTAAATGCGTAGAAATTGGGACTTGCAAACACTGGAGTTATCATATAACTTGGCAACATATTTAAAAATGCTAAATAAAAAAAACAACTTAAAACTGCACTTCAGGAAAATTTTATCCAATCCATTTATCAGTTATCTTGCCCTTTTGTACTCACAATTCACATGCGTTAGCTTAAATTCTCACACTATCTCCTGAGATATTAAGTTTATTTCTAGAAAACAGAATTTCACAACAAAATAAATGAGGAGGAAGAACTCTTTGAGTATGTCAAACCAAATAACCCCAGTATGTCATTTAAAGTACACAAGTGTGAAAATGCATATACAAAGGATTTTTTTTAATTTCGAAGTAAGTGTTTTAATAGAGGTCTGTTTGACATAAAGCCACAATAAGGTTGTTAATCTCTTTTTCTATTCAACCGAAAAGTTCAAAAGATTCTCCAATGCCTTGAAAATCCCACTGAAGTTTCTCCTAGCTGAAACTTAATGCAAAGTTTTGTTTTGAGAGTGGCAAAAGAATGATAATCCAATTACCAACCCTACATATCACATGTAAAATTCTGTTTTCAGAACAGAAAAAAAAAATTTCACAGCAAATGACATGATTCAATTTGGGGTCATCTGGTACAGCAGCAAGACAATTTCAATGATCTAGAATCTTCTTTACCTAAATAAACAAAGGACTCAGTAAATATTTCACATGATTCTTATTCTAAATTAAAGGGCTGGCAATGCCTGTGGTTTTCTCCACCCACTCCAGATACTATATAAAAAGTTCCATACAGATGACATCCATATTCAGATGGATACTTGCCTGCTGCTCAACTGAACTCTCCTCTCCAAACACCATGTGTTGTTACGGCAACTACTATGGGACTCTGGGCTGTGGCTCTGGCTGTGGCTATGGCTGGGCTGGGTATGGATATGGCTGCTATCACCCACGATAC